GCTCATCAAAATTTAGCTGTGTATACCAAATTTCATTCATTTATCACAACGCGATTGAGAGATATTGCAAAAAAATGATTTCCATTCCTCCCTCTTCAATGGGTCCCTGTGCCCTTAGGAAGCATTTCCGGACCCATGTTCATATGAACTTTTTTACTTAGTTTTGATCATAGAATAGGCCTGTTCAGGGTTGGCAGCTAATTATGAGACACCCTGTATAGAAATTAGTGCTGGCAACTGAAATCGGTTTTTTGGATAGTGGGTTAACCGGTTTTGGATAATTCGAATTTTTACAAAACCCGAAAACCGGTTATTCGATTCTTCAGATATCCGATCATTCAAATAACCGACTATTCGATAATCTATTCAAACATCCGAATAATCGGATTCTTTCTTTATAGCCAATAACTACATAACACCATAATATTGTCTTAGTGTTATGTAGTTATTGACACAGGCTACCTAGTACATACATAGAAGGGTTGACTATTAAGAGAAATACAATTTATTTTTATATTTTATTCTGGGAAACAGACAGACTGATAAAAAAAACAGTCACCCACATACACCAAACCACCAAATCCATTTATATAAATAATAAATTGAAGAATCATAGTAACAAGTGCAACTGTTTTAACATTTTAACTTTTAACATTAGATTTAACTTTAAAATTTGAAATATGTCATCTGATCTAAGGAAAGGTGCCTCAAGAAGAGGTAATTCTTTGTTTAAATTGTTATAATAGGACAATAAGATGGTACATATAATAAACAATAATGATAAATGCGTAATTACTCAGATCTGAGGGTGTCGATGCAATGCTCTCTGGATCCTGACTGCCTACAAACGTAAAAATTTGTTAGGTTAGGTTACTTCAACTTGTTAGTGTAGCTTATAAACTCAATGCTGTCGTACATCACCGGTTTGTATTGTATGTAAAAATTGCTTTTCCATCGCGGCACTTAGGCCTTATTAGGCCCCTTGTACATCCCCCTTTCATTACTCGAGTACTTACAGAGATTTATTGCTCTATTCTCATTACCATTTATCGGGGACCACACGCAGGCGGAGGGTGTTGAGCGACCCAGGTCTGGTAGGCTGCCACAGCCACATCCCAAGCCTGCCTTAGGTCACCCATCCAAGTTCTAGCCTGCGTCCGTGACGCTTACCTCGGCCGAACGAAATCCGTCGGCCAAGACACCCGGTTAGGCGGTCCCCTCCGGTTTGTATTAAATGCAACAATCTTAATTGACTGGGTAATTTATGTGACATATCTTTTTGTTCATTACGTACATTATGGATTGTAATGTGCAGTTTGATTATTCTGGAGTAAAATTTATACTTTAAACATAATTTTCTGTCTACATACTTATGCCTCATTATTTTGTCTCTTTTTACTTCTTTTTTGTTTTGTTTATAGTTTTATTAGTTGTAGTGCTTTCTTAAATGACAATCTAATGGACCAATTATTATTACTATTATAGTTTTCACTTAAATTTTTAAATAAATACAAAATAAGGTAAAGTTTTCTCTGCCGTAATTTCCTGTTCACTCCCCTCCTATCTTTAGAAGCGTGCACTAAAAAATAAATTTTAACCATTTGCAGTTTAATTTTTTTGGTATTGTAGGACCAGCCCTTCTTGAAGATAGCCAAAGAGCACGACAAAGGCCACCCACCTCCTTGCAAAGACAAGCGCAAACCCAAAAGCGAGCGATGCCCACCAGAAGTCGACAAGAAGAAGGTGTACAGACAGCAGAGTGACCTGTACGAGTCAACTTATAGAAAATATCCACATCCCTATAATGATGAATCATAAAATCGAAAGGTGTGTGATAAACGGCTTTGAGGAGGTTTATTTGAAACATAATGTATTATAAATAAATAAAAAATTTAAGCTTCATATTAAACAGGAGGTCGTTTATTTTTCTGCATGTGCACCCAGTCTTTCAGGTGTGACACCATCAAACCGCCTAGGATTATCTGCGTTGGATGATACACCAGCAACGGCAGGCTGATCTGGCTGAGGTGGGCGTAGCCATGGAACATTATCCTCAAAATTGGGATGCCTAAAATATGTACGTTACCAAAAGTGGGTCGAGTGGTTAACTCTAAGAGTGAAAATAATAGAAATTTCTTTGTTGTTAATCATCTATTTTCATAAAAATTTCCTCGTTTTTTAAAACGTTCCTTTGAAATTTTGCACAGAGTTGTATCTCATACTGGTACATTCTTCTGTAATTTTGGTCAAAAAAAAATTGAGTATGAACGGAGGCAAAATCGTAATAGTGGTCATAATTAACTCGTATCTTTTTTCTATGCACACATGGTTCGAAAGTATTCATTCTATCTTCACATTAGACCAAAAAAAACTATGAAACACTACTGCCAAAAATTAAATATATCTACCACCTTTGTGAAAATATACTTATTGTTATCTACGATACACACATTACGTCTCTTAATGAGAGAAATGGAATACGTACGATATGTAACGTACAAAGTAATGTCCTTACTACTCGGTACCTACCGGCGCAAAGCTTACTTTCCACCTACTTTCAAAGTAATCTACTAATTCGTACGTGCTATTATAACATCACGCTGTACCTACTAGCAAATTAACCTAATCCATATGTGCTATGAAAGCACGACTTGCTTTGACACTAGATGAAATAAACTTTGTGTAAAATGCTTTGGACAGCCGTTAGTTCGATATAGATTGTTGTTTGTACAAACACCAACATTCGTAGTAAGGCCACAACCACAACCTTACTACGAATAAAAGGGAAATCTAAAGTATTTTAAAAATATAATCCGACATCTAGGAGACAGTCCAAAACTAAGGTCGATTGTCTAACTATAGTTTTATAAGGATAAGTACGAAAGTCGAAAACAAGTCATGCTTTCATAGCACTTACACATTTTAGGTCACTTTGCCAGTAGGTACAAAGTAACACTTTTTGCCAGTATAAATGATCTTAGATATTCACTATATATATTCAATTCTGTTCGGAGTATATAGTTCTCAGAGTAGTTATTTCCCACAATATTACAAAATTACACTCGAATGTGCCAGCACAAAATAGAGGTCTGTAGATTTCAATTACGCATCTTAAAAAACAGCAGAATTATTAATACTTTATCTAACTTTCAATTTTATAAGCTATATCTTGAATTTGTGGGTTTTTTACACCCTGTACATTAGAATCAAATACTGTGCTTAAAAGAGCGAAAATAAACATACCTAACGTCAATGATTTATGTGTGGAACAGAACACGATAGCAATAACGTCTTGCGCTGAATATAACCTCTTGAAATACCTAGAGATTTTAAAGCTGAGTCCCATTAGAGTCAGTTGAAGTATCAACACTGAAAGGTCATAAATAAGAGTTGCGTTAACTCCCAACGGTAAACTTACCTGAAAACACGGTGAAAATGACGTCTAAAGCGGACAGGCCAGTCTCCGGCACTAGAAAAGTGTCGCAAAATGTTGTGTATATCACAAAGAGCAGGGCACATTGGCTGACTGTGTTTAGGGGAAGCCTGTGCCCCCTGAAATTCGTAAATGCTTTTATGCTTTGACCGAGCAACAACGGCATCAGAACGGTTGTAGTCAGTTGAATTATTGTGCCCAATAGAGGTACTATTGTCGTCGATCCTAACTAAAAGATAGTGTTAAGCCATGTAAGTCAAATACCGAAGTACTTACATTAAAAAGTAGTGATAAAGGGGTGATTATAATTCCTATAAAGCTTCCTAAAACTGAGTTTAAAATGGCAGCTGTTTCATTTCCTTGGGCTGCTCTTGTTAAAATAACGGCACTCGATACTGGTGGTGGCATACACGCCACTGTTATTAACCTAAATGAGTAAATATCGTACTCGACAAGTATTAGTTGTCTATTTAATACTCACCCTTTGAGAACCCATGAGTTTATGCCAAAGATGGATAATATCTTAATAAAAACTTGTGTATAAAGTGGTATAAAAACGAATGTGAAAAGCTGGATAAATAAATGTAGCTTATACTGTTGGAATGTGCGAAAAATACTGTCAGTTTTTAAAGACAAACCGCTAACAAGAAAAATTATAAAGACTGCCCCATATTTCACGGAGTAATCTGTATGTAAAGGACCTAAAAAAAAAAGGAATAGTGTGTGTAATTATTGAATAAGTTACACTAACCCTCCTTCGAGCCTAGTTTTGGATAAATGCCTGCTACAAAAATACAACATAATATGCCAACTAGAAGCCAGTTCTTTCTTAAAAAATTTATAGGCGTTATGCGGTGTTTCATTTTTTTAACCTACATAAACAAGAATTGCTTACATGTTTAGAGAAATAATATGCTACATATTCGAGATATTGAGGTTAGAAAACTGTCACTTTCTCATTAGTTAAAAACGACGTTGTGCCTACTTTCTCATTGGTCATAATAGCATTTCAAATTCAAGTATGAAATTAATATAATAATTTAAATAAAATACTGTAGGATTTTTTAAGATATATTTTTGTACATTCACAACACTTCTAAGAAATTTGACGCTTTACCAATCCTTCCAGTGCTACCAGACAAAACAACAACGTCCCCTGTCCTGAAAACTTTGGTTGCTTCTCTAACACCTACTATACAGGGTAAACCATATTCCCTAGCCACTACTGCTCCTGAAAGCGAAAAAACAAATTAAAAACGTTGAAAAACTACTTTAAAAAATTAATACCATGAGATATCAAACCGCCCAGTTCTGTAACAATTCCTGATAATATCGGAAAGTAAGGTGACCACCCAATATCCGTGCTGACTGTTATCAAGATATCACCTGAAAATATACACAACAGAATATCGTCTTCCAAGATTCTTAAAATTTTAAAATTATTTACCTGCTTGGAGTTGGTCAATTTCCTTGATGCTGCGAATAACGCATGCTCTGGCTTTAACCGTACCGGCGCAAGCTGCCGTTCCAACGCACACCTTATCGATGAGGTCTCCAGGTTGGTCAGCCTCGCTTTCGGGTAGTGGCACACCAAATGTAACCTCCGGGAACCTGATTTTGTTCCATTTGGGATATAATCTCTGTCGTTTTATCGCTCTGAAATGTAACACATCATTATTTGTACGAATTATAAGACAAGGAACTTACTTGGTTATTAGTAAGGGGTTTCTATTCCGTATTATTTGTCCTATTTCATAATGGGTGAGATGGTATACTAAATCTGGAGACGGTAAGAGACCTTTTACGACCATTTGCTTGGATAGCACTCTGTATGCTTGTTTGAGTATATCGAGAGCTTTAACCAGTTCGTACTTTGTTAACTCACGAAATGAAACGGATGACTGGATTCTATCCATGATAAATTTGATGATAGTCCTAAAAATAAATACAAGCGCTGTATGATAAGTACCTGGCCTATGCAAGAGATGGCGTTGCTAGTATTAAAAAAGTTATATTGTAATGTCCATNAATCAGACTCAGACGTTTTGTCTCGAAAAATTCATCTTCAGTGTATTCGTTCCAAATTTTTGTTTAATTACCATACACTAAGTGTCGTTAGACCCTGTGAAATCCACGTAGTTATTTAAACTATTACCATCACACGTTACAACAAAACATTAGAATTTTAATCTTAATCTCCATCATCTGGTCACACATAATTCGATAAGTTGTTGCGTCAAAATTCATTATTACAATTTTAATTTCATTGACAAATTAATTGAATAACCAAAACTCCAAATGAATGTTATAGGTACTTTAAAAAATGAAGTATGTTCAAAAATGTTTCTATTTTGGCAAATGTTGAAAATCAAGATAAGCGTAATATGATCAGAACTTATTATACCTGTAACCGTAACTGTCAAAGAGCATGTAAGTTGTATTTGTATGAATATCCTGAAAAAAATTAGATCAAAATTTGTTTGAATTTTGAGCACTCAAGAAATCTAGAAATAACTATGGGCACGGGATTAAAACTTTATAATATTTTATTGTAATGTGTAATGGTAATGGTTTAAATAAGTAGGTGGATTCACAGGGTCGAACGACACTTAGAGTGTACGATAATTCAATAAACATAGAAATCTAAATAAAAAATTTAGATAAATTTGGAACTAATACATTGAAGATGATTTTTCAAGACAAAACGTCTGAATCTGGTTCGGGCTGAGGCAGTACTATTCGGGGTTATGAAGGCTTGCAAAAAAATGTAATAAAATTTCCAGGGTCGTATTTATAAAAATGAAATTGATGATGGTTCTGGAGAGACGAAACATTACATATAAAAATTGATTATGCCATTTGATAGGGGGCAAAAAGTTGCCATGAGAAAGTGTTCTTCTTTTTTCAATATCACCTCAAACAAGGCTGAAATGAAACAAAAACGGATTTCCAAAATTTCAGTTTTCTTCAAATATTTCGGAAACTAATCATGTTGGTCCTTGATTTTTTTGAGGCATACTGTTGGTCCGCTGATTACGCAACTTTGCCCACATTTAAAGCTACGTCGTATCTCTCACCGTTTCCGAGATTCCTGTAGTGAGAAGCAAATTTGTAGCAGCCTGTATAACCTTGCGGCACCCGTTGTTGAACAGATGAGTCATTGTTGAGTTATTGACAATTATACGTGATACCGGAAACTTTGAATTGATGGTAAAATTTTTCTAGATCTTGTATTATTACGAAACATGGTTTATACATACAGGGTGTCTGGTAAATAATGGATAACCTTTTAACCGTGGATGGGGGACCCTAAGGTCGTTCAGAAAATCGACTTATCTTTGTACAAAGTCCCTTTGTTTTTCAGTTATTTCGGTTTTTTTCTAAACTGCCATAGGTTATTTTATTGGTTACTGTGGCCACAAGAGAACATACTATCTTTCAGTTAATAACTGAAAGATAATACGTTCTCTTGTGGCCGTAGTGACCAATAAAGTAACCTACGGCGGAAATTTCGAAAAAAAAAGCCAAATAACTGAAAAATGAAGGGACTTTGTACTAAGATAAAAGTTGATTTTCTGAATGACCCTAGGGTTCCCCATCCACGGTTAAAAGGTTATCCATTATTTACCGGACAGCCAATATATTAGACAAGGCGAAATCGGCGGCTTCGTATGCATAATCACCTCCGTGAGACGTTCCTGAATGAGGATCAAAATGTTTCCAGCCGGTAACCTGGNTCTAAGGAAAGGTGCCTCAAGAAGAGGTAATTCTTTGTTTAAATTGTTATAATAGGACAATAAGATGGTACATATAATAAACAATAATGATAAATGCGTAATTACTCAGATCTGAGGGTGTCGATGCAATGCTCTCTGGATCCTGACTGCCTACAAACGTAAAAATTTGTTAGGTTAGGTTACTTCAACTTGTTAGTGTAGCTTATAAACTCAATGCTGTCGTACATCACCGGTTTGTATTGTATGTAAAAATTGCTTTTCCATCGCGGCACTTAGGCCTTATTAGGCCCCTTGTACATCCCCCTTTCATTACTCGAGTACTTACAGAGATTTATTGCTCTATTCTCATTACCATTTATCGGGGACCACACGCAGGCGGAGGGTGTTGAGCGACCCAGGTCTGGTAGGCTGCCACAGCCACATCCCAAGCCTGCCTTAGGTCACCCATCCAAGTTCTAGCCTGCGTCCGTGACGCTTACCTCGGCCGAACGAAATCCGTCGGCCAAGACACCCGGTTAGGCGGTCCCCTCCGGTTTGTATTAAATGCAACAATCTTAATTGACTGGGTAATTTATGTGACATATCTTTTTGTTCATTACGTACATTATGGATTGTAATGTGCAGTTTGATTATTCTGGAGTAAAATTGATACTTTAAACATAATTTTCTGTCTACATACTTATGCCTCATTATTTTGTCTCTTTTTACTTCTTTTTTGTTTTGTTTATAGTTTTATTGGTTGTAGTGCTTTCTTAAATGACAATCTAATGGACCAATTATTATTACTATTATAGTTTTCACTTAAATTTTTAAATAAATACAAAATAAGGTAAAGTTTTCTCTGCCGTAATTTCCTGTTCACTCCCCTCCTATCTTTAGAAGCGTGCACTAAAAAATAAATTTTAACCATTTGCAGTTTAATTTTTTTGGTATTGTAGGACCAGCCCTTCTTGAAGATAGCCAAAGAGCACGACAAAGGCCACCCACCTCCTTGCAAAGACAAGCGCAAACCCAAAAGCGAGCGATGCCCACCAGAAGTCGACAAGAAGAAGGTGTACAGACAGCAGAGTGACCTGTACGAGTCAACTTATAGAAAATATCCACATCCCTATAATGATGAATCATAAAATCGAAAGGTGTGTGATAAACGGCTTTGAGGAGGTTTATTTGAAACATAATGTATTATAAATAAATAAAAAATTTAAGCTTCATATTAAACAGGAGGTCGTTTATTTTTCTGCATGTGCACCCAGTCTTTCAGGTGTGACACCATCAAACCGCCTAGGATTATCTGCGTTGGATGATACACCAGCAACGGCAGGCTGATCTGGCTGAGGTGGGCGTAGCCATGGAACATTATCCTCAAAATTGGGATGCCTAAAATATGTACGTTACCAAAAGTGGGTCGAGTGGTTAACTCTAAGAGTGAAAATAATAGAAATTTCTTTGTTGTTAATCATCTATTTTCATAAAAATTTCCTCGTTTTTTAAAACGTTCCTTTGAAATTTTGCACAGAGTTGTATCTCATACTGGTACATTCTTCTGTAATTTTGGTCAAAAAAAAATTGAGTATGAACGGAGGCAAAATCGTAATAGTGGTCATAATTAACTCGTATCTTTTTTCTATGCACACATGGTTCGAAAGTATTCATTCTATCTTCACATTAGACCAAAAAAAACTATGAAACACTACTGCCAAAAATTAAATATATCTACCACCTTTGTGAAAATATACTTATTGTTATCTACGATACACACATTACGTCTCTTAATGAGAGAAATGGAATACGTACGATATGTAACGTACAAAGTAATGTCCTTACTACTCGGTACCTACCGGCGCAAAGCTTACTTTCCACCTACTTTCAAAGTAATCTACTAATTCGTACGTGCTATTATATCACGCTGTACCTACTAGCAAATTAACCTAATCCATATGTGCTATGAAAGCACGACTTGATTTGACACTAGACGAAATAAACTTTGTGTAAAATGCTTTGGACAGCCGTTAGTTCGATATAGATTGTTGTTTGTACAAACACCAACATTCGTAGTAAGGCCACAACCACAACCTTACTACGAATAAAAGGGAAATCTAAAGTATTTTAAAAATATAATCCGACATCTAGGAGACAGTCCAAAACTAAGGTCGATTGTCTAACTATAGTTTTATAAGGATAAGTACGAAAGTCGAAAACAAGTCATGCTTTCATAGCACTTACACATTTTAGGTCACTTTGCCAGTAGGTACAAAGTAACACTTTTTGCCAGTATAAATGATCTTAGATATTCACTATATATATTCAATTCTGTTCGGAGTATATAGTTCTCAGAGTAGTTATTTCCCACAATATTACAAAATTACACTCGAATGTGCCAGCACAAAATAGAGGTCTGTAGATTTCAATTACGCATCTTAAAAAACAGCAGAATTATTAATACTTTATCTAACTTTCAATTTTATAAGCTATATCTTGAATTTGTGGGTTTTTTACACCCTGTACATTAGAATCAAATACTGTGCTTAAAAGAGCGAAAATAAACATACCTAACGTCAATGATTTATGTGTGGAACAGAACACGATAGCAATAACGTCTTGCGCTGAATATAACCTCTTGAAATACCTAGAGATTTTAAAGCTGAGTCCCATTAGAGTCAGTTGAAGTATCAACACTGAAAGGTCATAAATAAGAGTTGCGTTAACTCCCAACGGTAAACTTACCTGAAAACACGGTGAAAATGACGTCTAAAGCGGACAGGCCAGTCTCCGGCACTAGAAAAGTGTCGCAAAATGTTGTGTATATCACAAAGAGCAGGGCACATTGGCTGACTGTGTTTAGGGGAAGCCTGTGCCCTCTGAAATTCGTAAATGCTTTTATGCTTTGACCGAGCAACAACGGCATCAGAACGGTTGTAGTCAGTTGAATTATTGTGCCCAATAGAGGTACTATTGTCGTCGATCCTAACTAAAAGATAGTGTTAAGCCATGTAAGTCAAATACCGAAGTACTTACATTAAAAAGTAGTGATAAAGGGGTGATTATAATTCCTATAAAGCTTCCTAAAACTGAGTTTAAAATGGCAGCTGTTTCATTTCCTTGGGCTGCTCTTGTTAAAATAACGGCACTCGATACTGGTGGTGGCATACACGCCACTGTTATTAACCTAAATGAGTAAATATCGTACTCGACAAGTATTAGTTGTCTATTTAATACTCACCCTTTGAGAACCCATGAGTTTATGCCAAAGATGGATAATATCTTAATAAAAACTTGTGTATAAAGTGGTATAAAAACGAATGTGAAAAGCTGGATAAATAAATGTAGCTTATACTGTTGGAATGTGCGAAAAATACTGTCAGTTTTTAAAGACAAACCGCTAACAAGAAAAATTATAAAGACTGCCCCATATTTCACGGAGTAATCTGTATGTAAAGGACCTAAAAAAAAAGGAATAGTGTGTGTAATTATTGAATAAGTTACACTAACCCTCCTTCGAGCCTAGTTTTGGATAAATGCCTGCTACAAAAATACAACATAATATGCCAACTAGAAGCCAGTTCTTTCTTAAAAAATTTATAGGCGTTATGCGGTGTTTCATTTTTTTAACCTACATAAACAAGAATTGCTTACATGTTTAGAGAAATAATATGCTACATATTCGAGATATTGAGGTTAGAAAACTGTCACTTTCTCATTAGTTAAAAACGACGTTGTGCCTACTTTCTCATTGGTCATAATAGCATTTCAAATTCAAGTATGAAATTAATATAATAATTTAAATAAAATACTGTAGGATTTTTTAAGATATATTTTTGTACATTCACAACACTTCTAAGAAATTTGACGCTTTACCAATCCTTCCAGTGCTACCAGACAAAACAACAACGTCCCCTGTCCTGAAAACTTTGGTTGCTTCTCTAACACCTACTATACAGGGTAAACCATATTCCCTAGCCACTACTGCTCCTGAAAGCGAAAAAACAAATTAAAAACGTTGAAAAACTACTTTAAAAAATTAATACCATGAGATATCAAACCGCCCAGCTCTGTAACAATTCCTGATAATATCGGAAAGTAAGGTGACCACCCAATATCCGTGCTGACTGTTATCAATATATCACCTGAAAATATACACAACAGAATATCGTCTTCCAAGATTCTTAAAATTTTAAAATTATTTACCTGCTTGGAGTTGGTCAATTTCCTTGATGCTGCGAATAACGCATGCTCTGGCTTTAACCGTACCGGCGCAAGCTGCCGTTCCAACGCACACCTTATCGATGAGGTCTCCAGGTTGGTCAGCCTCGCTTTCGGGTAGTGGCACACCAAATGTAACCTCCGGGAACCTGATTTTGTTCCATTTGGGATATAATCTCTGTCGTTTTATCGCTCTGAAATGTAACACATCATTATTTGTACGAATTATAAGACAAGGAACTTACTTGGTTATTAGTAAGGGATTTCTATTCCGTATTATTTGTCCTATTTCATAATGGGTGAGATGGTATACTAAATCTGGAGACGGTAAGAGACCTTTTACGACCATTTGCTTGGATAGCACTCTGTATGCTTGTTTGAGTATATCGAGAGCTTTAACCAGTTCGTACTTTGTTAACTCACGAAATGAAACGGATGACTGGATTCTATCCATGATAAATTTGATGATAGTCCTAAAAATAAATACAAGCGCTGTATGATAAGTACCTGGCCTATGCAAGAGATGGCGTTGCTAGTATTAAAAAAGTTATATTGTAATGTCCATAAATATAAACCTTTCACAACAATACTGTCATTATAATTTTACAACAATGGAAAAAATTGGATATTGTGCGGTGATAAAATGATTGTTTTTGAAAAAGAAAACTAATGATGAGATTAAAACAGAGCTCAGCGAAGTTTATGGGAGCTCTGCACCTTCGTTATTAACCATAAAATCTTGGACAGCTGAATTCAAATGTGGCCGTACAAGCATTTTTGATGAAGATCGTCCAGGTTGTCCAAATGAGAAACGATTGAAAGAAGTGTGATAAACGATTGGAGAGCGAAAGTGCATGAGATTGTTGAGACTATGAGCATCTCAATTGAATGGGTGCAGAATATTTTAACAACTCATTGGGATATGAAAAAGCTTTCCGCAGATGGGTACCACGATTGCTCACAATTGACAGCAAACACTCATGTATGTCAACTTCAAAATAATGTCTAGCGATGTTAAAACGTAATGGGAATGATTTTTCATAAGTGTTGACGAAACATGGATTCATCACAGCATGCCAGAGATCAAAGACCTCTCCAAGCAGTGAATTTTCCGAGACGAATCTGCTGCAAAGAATTCTAAGGTGACTTTATCAGCAAACGAAGTCATGGTTAGTGTTTTGGGATGTACGCAGCATAATTCGTGTCGCTTACCTTGAAAAGGGTAAAACAACTGATAGAGAGTATTATTTCAAATTACTGGACCGTTTCAACTATGCTGTAAAAAAAAAACTTCCACATTTGGTGAAGAAAAAAATCCTCTTCCATCAAGGCAATGCGCACACTTGCGTCATCACCATGGCAAAATTAAATTAGTTAGGATACGAATTGCTTTGCATCCACCATATTTGCCAGATTTAACACCCAGCGATTATTTGCTATTTCCAAATGTGAAAAAATGGCTCATCGAAAAAAAATAGCTCTGAAGAAGAAATGATGAAGTCATTGCTGAAACAAACATTTGAAGGGTTGGAGCAGTCGTATTTTTTAGAGACAATACAAAAGATAGAAAAACTTTGGACTAAGTGTATCGAACTGAAACGTGATTAAGTTTTACACATAAAAATGTTTTTTTTTCTTGCCACGGCAAGGTACATATTATACAAACCTAGTATAATTTCTATATACATATGTAAGTATTGACCTCAATGCAAGTTTCTCAGAAAAAAGCTTTTAAATGAAAATAAGTACCTAGTAATTGCACTTTTTGGCGAAATCAAACTTTTGGTAATATCACGACACGATGTTGTACTTTTAGTACAGCTAGCTTCGTACTTGGCATTTGCTTGTATCATAGAAATAACTTTTGAAGGATTCTCACTCCAGGACTCCTCCATGATTTCAAACTGTAAACAAATCCAATGAGAACACTGTTAACATTCAAGCCGCTTGTAAATTTACCTCCCCTTGACTTCTGTGACCGTGTTTCTCCAAGAACTCTTGAAACAATTTAAACGCCTCGGGACACTTTTTCTCCAACCAAGCCACACCGAATTCTGGTTTTATCGCACAAAACACTTCGTTGTAGCCCTCTTCCCTGATAATTCGTGCGATGTTTTCCAAATAAGACGGTACTTCAGCTGACACAACGTCTTTGACGGAAGAGAGGATAGTCGCAAAATCTGAACAATGGTCCTTTGTCAACACTGTAACAACCAATTTAAAAATTTTTGGCATCACTTTAATCAATTCTTACCCTGACTCCCTTCTAGGAGAATATTCATTGCTAAGACTTGGTAAAAAACTGAAACGCTTGACGTTTGGGTATGATGTTTCAAAACGTCGGGTAGTTCGTGGAGTAACTTGTCAATTTTTTTATAATTCGTTAATAGTGAATCGTCAATTTTTAAGTCTGCTTTAAAATTGGATACTTTTTCCTTCATTTCTTGATATGAGGACCGATTTTTTAATGCTAAGCTAAACAAATCCAAAACTTCTGCCAAAAGTGTTACCGACGGTGTAATTCCTCTAATATTTTTACATATAATGTTGATTTTTTCATCCAAAATGGGATGCCCAAAAACTGCCAAGTCCAAAATAGTGGAGCTTATCTTAACTTCCTTGTTGACGTTTTTGTGAAGGAACTAAAAAAATACAAGTCCCAATATAAACTTAAAATATTGTGTTTCACTTACGTTTATGACATCTGCAACACCTTGGTGCTGCCTTCTTAAAATACACTGCATGCCACACGGATCATAACGATTTGTCAACCGCAATTCCATCGCTCGCGAAATGGACAAAACACTGGTTGTTTGCGTTAAAACACTCATGGCATTTGGAATAACTTCACCTATATTAGCTATTGTTAGCACCGTGTAGTCAGAACGAACAGGGTAGTCTAATTCGTGAGTCAAATCGAAATCAGACCAAGAATTTAGAGTTGTGATGGGCCGGGACTGAAGTAAGTACAGATTATCCTACAAAGGAAACATTTACTAATAAAGATAAACATGTGACAAACAGTTACCTTATAAAAAGCCCATTCTATGTCTCTCGGACCCCCAAAAGCCTTTTCCAACAACACACCAAGTTTCCCTAACTGCAATGCTTGTGCTTCCGATATGCTCCAATCTGGATTTTCTATAAATTCAAATTCTCCCTCTTTATCGACCTCTTCGAGGCCAGTGTCTGACATTTTCAAGATTTTGTTTTTACGGCCAATGTTTCGGTTCAACAGACACACCTTGTCATCCCAGGTTCTGTTGAGGACAAAAGTATCTGGATCGCTTTTTCCGGAAACAACAGTCTAAAACAAAAATTTCGGGGTAAAACTCGACACATTTTTTCTTTGATGTTCTACCTCTCCCAATCCATAATTTGACGTTATAACCATCTGTGAAGGGTTGAGAGAAAAAGGATGACAAGTGAATAGAACACCCGCAGAATCTGCAGGGACCATTTTTTGTACCACTACTGCCATTTCGGATAAGACGGGTATACCGTGCTGCCTAAAATATATTTAATAATTGGGTTACACACTAAAATAATTACAAAGTCGCATAAAATTTTCTTACCATCTGTACTGAACGCTTTGATAACTGAATAGCGAAGCCCAGCACGCTGATACGGATTTCAGTACTTGTTCTTCTGTCAGACAACCTAGGAACGTGTCGTTTTGCCCAGCAGCGGACAATTCTTCGGAATCTTCTCCGATTGCCGAGGACCTAACGGCCCAGCCGAGGGAAGCTTTGTTTCCAATAATTTTTAATTCTTCTTTAATGGCGTCTTCGATTACCGTTAATATTTTCTCCTTCTTGATACAACTGATCACACTAAAATGAATAATTTCATGTAGTTAAGGAAGATTTTATGTAGTACTTACTCATTGCAAGTTGTTTCAAGTTTTCCATCCTTTAGCCCATGGCAAATGTCGTCTAAATGCAGTATGGTCTTTGCCAGCACTGGATTCGATTGCAACTGAAGTCTGAAGGCGTTCACAGTTATGATGAAGCCGTCAGGTATTGTAAACTACAAAAATAACTTTTGTTCAATGATATTTTTGTAAATAAAGACCACATACGTCTGGAGAATTCAGCGACGATAGTAAAGCCAACGAATTTCCTTTCCCACCAGTAAGAGCCAAGATTTTTGCTTCTTCGCTATTAATATTTGTGACCAAACCTTCAGGTAAAGTGTCGATCACTTTTGGTCTTAATAAAACATTTGATTTAAATTTGTTAATTCCTACAACAAAAGTAAATATATTTTTTTCATAGCAGTATGAAGCATTTTTACCATTTTTATTGTACCAAAACTCAACAACAGCTTTAGCCTGATTGGTGTTGACATCACATTCCGCTGGTACATTGTAACATTCAAATCCATATTCGTCCTCGTCAACCGTCACCAGAGATTTCGTTCTATTTAGATGAATGACACATTTAAAACGTTCCTTCCCAACTGCAATATTTTGAATTTTTTTAAATGTGCATAACATTTTTAAAAACACCTTACCGCTTATTTCAGTTGTTATCATTTCAGGTAAAATTTTATGATGGCTTATATTATTTAGTGAAATATCTACCCCGTTTATCGGTAAAATCCTGTTGTCGCTCAAAATCGCAGACCCGTAGTTCATCCTAATATATTAAAAATAAGTAAACGTTATTTGTTAAAAAAATAAAGTGTTCTTACTGTGAGCATCCATTTCTAAAAGATTTTATAACTATATTTATCAAATTTCCGTAGGTGTCCGCTAAAAAGATTCTCAACGCTCTTTGCAATAAAAATCTATCGTCGATTCCAGTGTGTTGTGTACAGCACGCGGGCAGATTTAAAACTAGATCGTCTGGGTAAGTATCACTTTTTAAATATCCTTGTAAGGCTCCAAACTGTTCGTAACCACTTTGATCAACCCTAAAAAAATTGCATTCAATACAACACCATCTACGATTGTTTCAGAGACTGACAAATAGTCTATCCATGATCCGTCTCTCCAAACATCCCTAGTCAACGCATCGGCAAGTAGGTTCGAGTCCATGTCTTGAGGGATATAAGTTGGGGAACCACTAGAATTGAAACTGTAACAAATTCAAACTTGCTATAAAGAGAATGCGCACATATTTTTTACCTGCACTTACATGAAACTGAAATGTACATATTCCACTTTTTCGCAGTTTTTAACAGAAACATTACGCAGCAGTCCATTAAAAATTATTCTTGATCTGATGAGGGGTTCCAATATTTCAATACTCAACCCGTTGATTTTCCATTCGTTGTAGGGTATTTTTGTTAGTCGCAGACTATTTTCCTCTGGTAAAACATATTCGTTTCCATCTGACAGACGAAGGTACAAAAACACTTTGGCGACTTTGTCATACCTCACCGTAAACTTTAAAGACAAGCTGTTGCCCTTTTGGTCGACCCCATAAAACTGTTGAGACTTGGAGTGCTGTAAACAAAAAAGCCGATTAAAAATTGAATTGAACTTTGTAAGAAAGATAAACATGATATATAGATATGTACTAATCTATTGTAAATAAATTAATTTAACCTCATCCGTTGGAATTCTGAAGATTTCCTTAAAGGGAGCAGTTTGCGAACGGTATTTCTCTTGGTACCTACGAACGGCATTCTTGGCAAAGTGCAGCTTGACTAAATAAAACCAGTCTAAAAAAAATTTATGATCACGGGTTGTAAATCGTTCAAAATATTTTAAAGGCTTATGTTTTTCATTAAGATAATTAACATAATTTTGTTTACTTTACCTCTACTAGTGTAAACGCTACGTCCATTATTTTTCTTAAAAAGCAAGAAATAGAGTACGAAGGGTATTACAAACAACGCTAAGTAATATCCAAGATTATATATCAAATCCATCACGACAACATTTATCATAATAATACTAATGTCTAAGAGCGAATGTAATGAGCTGCAGATAATTTTAAAGATTAGATAAGTTAACACTTAAAATTTTAGATAAAAGTAGGGCTACTTGTTAAGTTCTCATTAATTTTACATCGGATATGTTTACATAAGCAGAGGGACTGGAACCAGTTAAATTTAAAAATAATTTTAAATCAGTTTTTAATGTCCTATCACACACCGACGCGTTTATAAAAGCAAAAACGTGCCTGATTTAAATTCAACCAATTACCGTTACATACCCAAATTGTTTAAAATATTTGGCAATAAATGTACATCAAAGTGATACACACTTACATTTATTTTTAGATATTTACTTTACTGTCCATACTGAGATTTCAGATATAAACAATCTAAGTTTATTTTTATTTTATAAATTTATAAACATTGAACATTATAGATTATATAAGAAAAAAGCAGATTACCTATACGTCTTGTCAATCGAACTCCAACTCGTAAGGTTCAACTTCAGCCAGATATAAATAGAATCTCTAAAATTGATAAACAAGGTTGAATAAAGTCAGCAAACGATTTTAATTCCGATTATTAATTTGTTATTATTGTTTAAGCACTTTAATTTTGTGAACACAAAATTTTATATCTTCAATCAACGCCTTTGCAGTGTCAATATATTAAATAACTTTTACAGTGTTTATATTATTACATATTATTTATTGACTTTCTATACTAGTTATAAAGAGCGAGTTTGTGGTTGAAGAAAAGATAATAAAACAAAAATTAACAACACATTTATATACATATAAATTAAACGCAATACTAAAATAGTTTTAATTATTTTCAATGTAACACATGGATTTTCTTTCTACACGTCACATTTCACCACAGTTCGAGTTGCTTTCACAGTTCCTCACGGAACTACAGTTCGACTCCACGTCAGTTGCAGGCGAGCTGGGTTGTTCAGTGTCATTGTAAAAAACTGATAAAGCATGGTGGAAGGGGTGTGGATTTTCCGAATACATCTGGGAAATTACGCAGTCCGTACAAAAATCAATCGAGTCGGTACACCTCATGCAATGCCATCGAGATCCAACTATAGGCTCCACGTCGCAGTAATTGCACCGGTAACCGAAATGTTGAAACACATTGTAACTTCCACTTATTTCCTTGACCTTTTCACTTCTAATTCTCTTTAATAAATTCAGCTGGTGTTCTGGTTCAGTTTTAATTGTCTGGTTGTTTAAAGTGTGACTTTCAGCGGGCATTAAATAATTAGATGAACCAGAAGGCACAGGTGACGAGTTTAAACCTGGTCCAGGTATGTTGTCCAGGTCGTTCATAGTCACAGGCACATATAATTCTGGGAAAAAAGTCGTAGGTTTCCATAGATAGTGGTTGTGACGTTGATGCTTATGCACCATCGATCTCTTGTACTTTTCTCCAGATTTGGGAATTTTGCCCGGGATAGGTAACCCGGCTCTATACAGTTTTAAGAAATATTTCTGGACCCTACTGCAAACTTGTTGCACTGTCCTGTTACCTAGAGCCCTAGCTATTTTATGAAACCGTTTCATTTCAATTGGTTCGGGAGGGAAAATAATTAGTAATTCTTCTAATCGTTTTTGTTCTTCGGGAGTCCAAACCCTGTTATTACCATTATTTTGTCCAATTTTGATAACATCTTCCTCAGAGCTATTGACAGACGTATCGGAATATATAGTTTTCAGATCTTGAGCCGGAACTTTTACGTCATATTTTTGAAAATTTATATTTGGTATTTTTGGCAGTTCAATTCTTGCCGGCACACCTAACCCCTCCCCATTTTGGATTCGCTGTAATGTATAAAAGGGGTCTTGAAGGGCGTTTTTTCTAATCTGAACCACTTGATTAAAGTCCTGTATGGCCTTCTTATGTTGTGCCGTAAGGATTACTAGAGTCTTAAGAACATCGCAGTAATCTTTATTTCCTTTTAAAGCTAAGTGGTCGGATTCGAAATAAAAAAAATCCTCACACTGATCGTTTGAACTGTTTGCCATATTTCTTAAAAAGAAAAATAGATTATATTTAATATCCATAGTTCATACGATTCTTACCTCAAAAATACATAATTAACGACAGTGCATTTCCCACAAAATAGGAGACTAGATAAGGAGCATAAGGAGCACGAACTCATACGGGAAAATTGACAAAATTTGTCCAAGAAATGGCAGAAGTTGGGGTGGCGCTAGTGTTCCATATGACCCAAATGAATGTAACTTCATAAATACGAGTGAAGTAAGCAAATAACCAATTTTATTGGTTATTCTTAATACGGTAGAGAAATTTTTAAATAGAAAGATTTCATAAGTGAAAAAATATTGTATAATTGAATCAACAGCAAGAGCATCCGCTACACCAGCAACAGGTGCAGCAGCTACAACAAGAGCAGCAGTTACAACAACAACAACAACACCAACAACAAGAACAGCAAGTGAATCAAGAGCAATTAAGTTACGATGAGATTATACTAGAAAGTGAGCATCCTGTCCTGTATAATCTAATAATAGAAAAGTTCTGTTGACGTGTGATGAGGTCTCGACAAAACAACTATGAATATGTTCACATAATATTGACAATAGTAACAAAGTATACTTTATTTCTACATATTCTTGGAATTTATATTACGTGCATAAATAATTCGTATCTTTCATATAATTCTTGCTGGCGACATCGCTATTATCATTACTGAATTGAATAAATCATTTCCAATTATGTAGTTGCTGTTTCTTTCCTGTTAGTAAAAAACTGATTGAAATTCAGATATGATATAAAATTTAAAGAGAGGATACGTGTAGTAATTGATGCTGATCGATCTGTATTGGTAATTGACTACTTTTACTAAATATTTAAACATGGAAATCAATTGCTTCATGAACAAAATGAAATTTTAAGAAGATAGACTGACACGTATTACTTATTTTTAAGTTGTTTTATTTGTAATATATATTTACTTTGTTACTTGTTTGTTATGAATAAATATTTATTTTATTTTAATTAGGCACAAATAATTT